CTGTGTGTGTGTGACTCATCATCAGGGTGTGTGTACCGGTCAGACCAGATCTCCTCTGTCTCACTGATCTCAGTGAATTTTCTTTCCAGCAGCAGTCATGGTGACGATGATGACGATGAAGGTTGCAGTAAACAGTCTTGGTGGGTGGAGTCAGGCCGCTGTGCTGGCTGCTGATTCGTCAGGAAGCTTTTAAAGCAACACGCTCCGTGTAAATCTCCACGCTGAGGGCGGGGGGGGTATGAAAACCAGGAAGTGACCATTAACCCTTTAGAATCAGTTTGCTCCTTTTATTTCCCAGCAGCTCTTGCTCTCCGTGTGAACGTGTCGTATGAAAACTGGATCAGTGTGTTTCAGTCTCAACTCAGATACTGAGTGTGACATTAACAACAGCGCCACCGTTCAGTCAATAGAAAAATTACATCAGCATTTTAGGAAACCACAAAAATCTGATTTGAAAGCAAAGTAAACAAACGTCACCTCTATGTAACGTTTGTGTGTGTGTGTGTCTCTGTGTGTGTCTGTGTGTGTGTGTCTCTGTGTGTGTCTGTGTGTTTCTGTGTGTGTGTGTCTCTGTGTGTGTCTGTGTGTGTGTGTCTCTGTGTGTGTCTGTGTGTGTCTGTGTGTGTGTGTCTCTGTGTGTGTCTGTGTCTGTTTGTGTGTGTGTGTCTGTGTCTGTGTGTGTCTCTCTGTTTGTGTGTGTCTCTCTCTTTGTGTGTGTGTGTGTGTGTGTGTCTCAACAGGACATGGAGGTGAGCCCCAACGAGCTGATGAACATCCTCAACAAAATCATTTCCAGAAGTGAGTCCAGGTTTTGAGTCTGTGGTTTTGCAGCTGCTCAGTAACGGCAGGTCACCTGATCCAGACATGAACTCTGGGTAAAATCTGGAGAACTGGTCCCAGAGTTTAATCCAGTTTGACTTTATTCTATTTAATTGGATTTAATTTACACGTTATTGTTCAGCAGGAGGTTAATTATAATTTGACGTGAACGCTCGGAGCTCGTTACGTTGAATCATCTGATGAATGTTTGATGTGATGAAGATTCAAGTGTCGTGTTTCAGACTCACAACTGAAGACGGACGGTTTCAGCATCGAGTCCTGCAGGAGCATGGTCGCCGTTATGGACGTATCCTTCCACCAGATAATGACATAATCTAGTTCCAGGGAGTCTGTGGTGGTGTTTGAGTTTGACCTTTGACCCTGATGCCTTCAGAGTGACAGCACCGGGAAACTGGGATTCCATGAGTTCAAGTACCTGTGGAACAACATCAAGAGATGGCAGGTCCGTTCTTCTTCTTCTTCTTCTTCTGCTTCTATTTCTTCTTCTTCCTCTTCTTCTGCTTCTATTTCTTCTTCTTCTATTTCTTCTCCTCCTCCTCCTCCTCCTCCTCCTCCTCCTCTTCTCTTCTGTGATATTGTTCTGATCGTCTGCAGGGTATCTACGTGAAACATGACAGGGATCGTTCTGGTGTGATCAGTGGTCAGGAGCTGCCGAGAGTCTTCGAGGCTGCAGGTGAGTGTGTGTGTGTGTGTATGAGTGAATGTGTGTGTGTGCAAATAATCAGGCTGAACAGAGTGTGATGTTTTAAACTAACGGTGTCTGTGTGTGTGTGTGTGTGTGTGTGTGTGTGTGTGTGCAGGTTTCCCTCTGAATGGTCAACTTTTACAGCTGATCACCCGTCGCTACAGTGATGAGCATTCAAACATGGACTTTGACAATTTCATTGGCTGCATGGTTCGACTGGACGCCATGTGCAGTGAGTCTTGCTCCTCCCTCTCCTCTCCTCCCTCCCTCTCCTCCCTCTCCTCTCCTCCCTCTCCTCCAGATATTATATTCATTAATGTTAATGTTTCCTGTGACGTCCAAAGGGAACAGTGAGTTCTCCTGCAGCTGTTTGAACATAATCACGTTTCTGGTGAAGAGTTCGGTCGAACAGTTTTTCTCTTGAAACAGTTGAATGAGTCATTGATCTCGGTTTGTTCTGCAGGAGCCTTCAAGACTCTGGACAAAGACAACAGCGGCTCCATCGACCTGGACGTCAAGGAGGTAAACACTGTTTCAATGTCTGCACACCGGCGACACCTAGTGGTCGGAGGCATTATGTTTTCAGGTTGTCAGTCTGTCCCATTGTTGTGAACACGATATCTTAAGAAAACTTTCTGGGAATTTCTTCAAGTTCGGTTCAAATGTTCACTCGGACTCACGGATAAATCGATTTGAATTTGGTGGTCAAAGGTCGCAGTGACCTCATATGAGTGAATCTACATTCTGTTTCCAACGTTGACAAAGGTGAAAGTAAGAACATAATAATTCAACAAACATGTTTCCTTGATAGTCTCAGTTACAGGAAGTTCAGTGTGTAGCTATCGTAGTTCTCTTCTTAGAGTCAAACGTAAAGCTCCGTATGTTTTGGATTAATTCTAGATTTTCACGGACGTTCAGGGTTTGTATATTTTAAGGTTGTTAAATGTAAACTAATCATTTTACCAGCTGTTACTCAGGCAGAGTAAAAGTTAGTGAATCTCTCTGACTCTGTTTCTGTTTGTGTCTCCCAGTGGCTTCAGCTGACGATGTATTCATGAAGCGACCGGACGAGGGAGATTAAAACTTCTCTTCTTTCCTCTCATCCCTCACTTCCTCTCGTTCCGCTCTCTGTGTGTTTAACGGTGTGTGGCAGCGTTTGAAAACCCCCATTGTCTCCATGGTAACAGGACCAAAATGCCAGCGCACAGCTAACGTCGAAGCAGAAATCAAACTCGGGACCAAAGTCTTACTGATGCTGCTGTTGCATTGCCCCTCTGCTGCCAGGAGGTGGTGCTATAAATTCTGAATTTTTTTTTTTATTAGGCTGAAACTGACTCTGAACAGAATAAAATTATAGAAGTGACAAACACTGAGTGTTGTGATGAGTGTGACACTTTCTCTTTCTGCAAGTTGTGGAAAGGGAACGACTGCTGAGTTA